ATTTTTCATTAATTTTGTGTTGATGCCATTGTTTGAGGCACGTCACAGAATCTGAGATTTGTTGATGCATCTCGAACTGCAAATTCACACAGTTACTATGGTGCATCTCCATAATGGTGAACATAATGATTAATGTACATGTAGTCGAAACAACTACATCTTCTTCTGATTTCATGATGATGTTCTAGGCCTAGATATGACTGTCAAATAAACTGTAGAGGAAAGTAAATTAGATTATAAAATGAGTAATATTAAAAATAAATTATTATGAATTGATTAGTTTAGTAGCAATGCATCGTCTGGTGTAAGGTGATCTAAGAGATTACGATATTGAGTGATGCAATGTCTAGGATATTTGTTGTAAGTCATACCACGAGCCTACCATCTAAAAAAAAGTTAAAATAAATTATTTAGAAATAATAATGGGTAACATAAAAGTATTTTGTGCGTACGAGAATGTGAAACTATTGTTATTAATAGGCGCTAGAGACGACAATCTAGACCAACCCCATGGTTGGAGCAAAATGACACATTCATAAAATGTAGATGTCACTTTCTTTGTGTTTTTACACAAAGAGATATATAGATAACACAAAATTCCTTATAATCAGTCTAGTTCACACAAACTTATAGCAAAGTTATACCAGATAACATTGTTTTTGAAATAGTCATAATAAATTGCACAACTTTAAAACAATATCAGTTGACATAGTTTCAGAATTCATAGTCAAACCATATTTTTCATTCATAAGTAGTTGATATATAAGTTACAACAGGGCTTTTCAACTTCATTACACTTTTTGAAACCATATGAGTTGACAATTTATTTGCAACTAGTCCTATTAATAATAACTAGTCCTACTTTATTACACTTGTTACAACTAGTCCTATTAACAACACAAAGCTCATGACAAACGTAAACTTCGAATGCATATTCAGAAACTTTATCTTCATCTTCAATTCATCCTCTTTGAGCTTGCCTTCATTCACCTTAATCTTCTTTACACTTAATCTTTGATGCAATGAAGAAATCAATTATTTTGCTTTTAGAGTCATCTCTTCATCATATCAAACAAAATGAGTGCATATTTTGTGTCATTGAAACTACAAATAACAGATTTTCTAATCAATAACTTATACATCCACACTCCTAAGTTAGCATCTAACTATGATGTCATCAATGGTGTATCAAAATTACACAAGCATTCGTCTCAAATGGAAAGAGATTTCACACAAATAGTTGCTTGGAAAAACTGAGACATAGTTGTTTTTGATGAGGATGATATAAGCAACATCATAAGTTTAGGGTTTAGGATTTTTTTGAAGTTGAGGAAAAAAAATGATGGAACGTAACAAACTCAAAAAAAAAAAGAACAATAGTTTGAATTTTTTATTGGCTTTTGGTTAATATTAATAGAAATAAATAATATTTAATATTTAAATAATTAAAAAAATAACTAAAAAATAAAAGAAAGTTCTTAAATTTATATTATCATGTAAGCACTGTTGATGACGTGGTGCCACGCACACCGGTCTTTTGAAGTGCCACTTACACAAGAATTGAAAGAAACAAAAAATTGTAATAAAAAAATTAAAAGGTTGAATTTTTTAAAGAAAAATTAACAATTTAAAAATAACAAAAATAGAAAAATTAAAACTGCATTTAACTCTAATCATTTTATATAAAAAGGGAAAATAGAGTTAAATCTTAATTTTTTTATTAAATACAAATTTAAATACCAAAACTAATACTAGTTTATAAAAGGTTTTATATTATCAACATAAATTTTGAAGTGCATTTAGTATAGGTTAAACCTTAAATCATCCTTTAGATCAATTAACACACATATGAGTTTAGTTACATTCCTCCCATTATTTCTAGTAGTTAAATTAATTAATTATGTAAAACATTTTCGTTGATTGTGTGACAAAATTGTTTTAGAAAATGTTATAAGGTTTTCTTCTACTGTACGAAAGTGTCAGACAGGTGTACATGCTATATTTGGTAGTTTTTTTTTTTTTTTATAACAGGTGATTTGGCAAATTAAAATACTGATTAGGAGACAAATTATGATAATTTAACGTTAAGTATTGAGAAGTGGGAACCGTCCATTGCAAATAAATTAATATTTTAGAAAGAATTATCTCGATTGTCAACATTTCACCCAAACATATCGAGATATTAAACAAACGCCCAGTCAAAGATGAATTTTAATTTTAGTATATAGAAAATGACGTGACTTCTGATCCATCTATACATTTTATAATTATTAGCTAATTAATATTTCAAAGGAAAGGTGCTATTTGTTCACTGTGATTTTCCGTTTGAATGTCACATATATATGAATGTAAGAAGAATTTTGAGATATTTAAAAAGATTGATAAATTATGCAATTTTATTTCGATGAGATTCTGATGGCAAATAAATTATGGTTGTTTTTATTTAGATGATGATTGGTGTAGAAATAAGAAAGATCGAAGAAATATTACTGAATATTTTTTTTAAGTATTTGATACTTCAATCTTATAGTGTTCGAGAAAGCAACTTACGGTGACATTGTCATCATGTAAGGTTGAATATATATCAAGACTCTATGCTACGTGTCAAGCAATTTGGGCCAGATCTGTGTTGGAAGACACCGAGGTCGAAGTGAAGAAACTTTTCGACAACAAATCAACCATAAGACAAATAGTTCAGTTTTGCATGGAAGAAATAAACACATTGAAACTATATTTCACTTCTTCAGGTAGAAGGTGAATAGATGTGAACTTGAAGTAAGACATTGCTAAGTGAAACACAATTGACCAACATTTTTACTAAAGGATTGAAGATCAACATGTTCCTAACATTGAAAAAGAAATTGGAAATAGTTTAGATCAATAATGATTAATGTGTTTCGACAACTTGAATTATAAGGAGCTATATTGAGATATTATATATAATCCAAATTGAATTATGAGACGTAAACCTCAAATTAATTTTGATTTGTTATTTTACTTAATAGTTAAGTCACTTAGATATACATAAATAATATTTTGTAATTCACTTTTATTCATTTAATATTAATATTTATTTTTTTATTCTCTCTTTTTCTCCTTACAAGGCACTAATAATTATTTGAAAATTAATAATTTAACTAAATTATGAATAAAACATGTGACTTGAATATGAGTGTCTCCTACGAACTACTTTCCTTGAGTTCACATTTTTATTGATATTTTCATTTATACTTATGATATCATCATAAAAATATAATTGTATATTTTGTTTTTTTTATTTAACTCATCGAAAACAATATTTCATTTTAATGGCGAATTCTTAAATATCTATGATAAATAGTTGAGTATTAGTATCTTTAATAAAAATTTATTTTAAAAAATTTATTTTTAAATAAAATATATATAAAATGTGACATATCATTGAATGTTATTGTTTTATTAGATGAAAATACTAACATTTAACTAAATCTAAGGTACCAAAATATTCACCTTTTAAAATTATTATTTTTTGTCGCTTAATACTGTGTATCTGTTACAATTTTGATCTATTTTATCTTTTACCCCTGAAAATAGTCAATTTTTGCAAAAAAAGAAAAAGTTTAATTTGGAAAAATAAAGCTGTATTTATATATTAAATTATAAACATATAAATATTTCTTTTATCAAAATTAATAATGGATATATCACGTGAAAGTACAAATTAGACATTGAATAAAAAAATGGATATTAAAATCCATAAAACTAATTTCTTTAAGATTTTGTATTAAAATATAATATTCAATTCATTACGAAGTGATTGTTTACAATCTATCGTGATAATTTTCAAATTTCTCATGACTCCAATATTTAGAAAGCTCAAAATATGATAACAAGTTTACAACAAATATAATAATTTAAAATAAAAAATTATTAAAAGGAATTTCTTTTATTATAAATGTGATTAAATATGAAATTGAAATTATAATAACATACTTTGAATTTTTTTTTTTGTAAATAGAAAATATAATTATCTTTTAAGATCAAACAATTTATTTTTTTCTTATAATATTATTGGTATCGGACATTTTCGATGGATAAAATAAGCTAAAAAAGAAGAAATTAATGCTAACACGTGTTTAAACTATTGTTTAAAGAATCAAAATGTAATTTTATACTATAAATTAATTTAATTTTTAATTTAACAAATAATTTTACGATAATAATATTTCTTTTTATAACATTTTTATCGTGATTTTTATTTTGAAGTAAGTGTGATCACTTATTAATAATATAGCAATATAGAAAAATAATCTTTCCCTTTTAAAAAGAGTTATTTAAGATTTTTTATATAAATAAACAAAAATATATTTCAACTAAAAAATATAATAAAATTGTCAGAATACATATAGTTTTACCACAGTAGCCTTCAAAGTAAAGTATATATATTAATAAAAATATATAATTAAAAAAATAATAATTCAACAATGAAAATTGAAAACAATATTATTTTTAAAATAAAGTTTCTTTTATAAAACAATACTGAGTGTCGATTTTATAATTGCTGTTCTCATAATTAAAAAATAAAATTAATAATAATTTGATCAAAATTATTTTTAATACTTTAATGTTTAAAAATACTTGTTTAAATAACAAAATTTTATTGTTATGTATAAGAAAAAAAGGATAATGTATTTTTTTATACTGTTAACTAATGTTCATTATATATTACAATAAATAATACTGAAAATTTTAAATGAATTATATGGTCCACATACTAATACATTTAAATTTTTATTGAATGACAGTTTAAAATATTTTTATTTAAATATTTATTTTTGAAAACAAACAATTTTGGAAAATAGTCCCAAAAAGCTCGGGGTATAATGGGCAATTTGTGATTCTATTCCATTTCAACATACACCATAACCTTATATTAACGATCTAAACCGCTTTACTCTGCACAGAATAATCTTTTCTTCATCATTCTTCACTCCTCACTTTTCTTCAAAGATCCACACAAAATGCTTGCGATTTTCGACAAATCTGTTGCTAAAAGCCCAGAGGGTCTCCAGACCCCTGAGTCAAACTCTGTTTCAGCCTTGAAAGACGGGTTTCTTCCACAACATTTCTCATCTGTTTACCCTGGTTCCGTCACCGTTAACCTTGGTCCTTCTGGTGTCTTGGCCTATTCTCTTAATCAACAGAACTTTCTCCTCCCAAGGTGCACTACCCCTTTTCTTTTATGGTTTATGTTTTTCATGATTTCGGATTCAATAATGAAAAAAACATGATTCTGTTGTTTTATGCTTATTTTTAGTTCAACCTCTTCTGTCTTGATCTGTGTTCGTTTTTTACTCCCTCGATTGTCTTGTGTTTTTTTAAGTTATTTAATAATGTAATAATCACTTGCACGTAGTTCTTCGATTTGAGAACATGATGACAAGGACATATTTGTTGTCTGAATTAATCCTTGCTGTATAGATAAACGCCTTAGGTTCTCTGGGTGTGTTACAAATAGTGCTATTGTTATATTGTTCTCTCACTCACAGATCTAAAACTATATAAATGTTTGTTACCAGAATCGCAATATCTGAAAAATCCTGAGTTGAGTAGATCCTTAAAAACTGGTTGTGAAAGACGTTTTGATGCTTAAAGATTATTCTTTTTTCATGAGAGTTTATTATATATGTTTCTTTTTTTTATGTTGCTAGGCTGTTTGCGGTCGTGGATGACATTTTCTGCTTGTTTCAAGGCCACCTTGATAATGTTGCTAATCTTAAGCAACAATATGGATTGAATAAGACTGCAAATGAAGTGATCATTGTCATAGAGGCGTATAGAACTCTAAGAGATCGCGGTCCCTATTCTGCAGCTCAGGTCGTGAGAGATTTACATGGAAAGTTTACATTTATTCTGTTTGACAGTGGCTCTAAAACCACATTTATTTCTGCGGTGAGTTATGCTCGGTTCACCTTTTATGCTCTCCTATAGATATTTTCCAATTATTTGCTTCTCTAACATGATATCCATATGGTGGTCTTTTATGTAACAGGATGCTGATGGGAGTGTTCCTTTCTTCTGGGGAACTGATGCTGATGGAAATCTTGTTCTTTCCGATGAGTCAGAGACCGTAACTAAGAGCTGCGGGATATCTTCTGCACCATTCCCAAAAGGTAATGCTTAGATTGATGCTAGTTTGACTATACAAGTTCCCTCCCTTTGTTGAACATTCCCATTTAGATCTACCTATCAGCTTAAGTACATTAAAAGTTAGTTAAGAGAATGAAAGGAATAACAAGTTCAATGACTTTGAAATTTTAATACCACTGTCCTTTAAGATAGATAGCAAATGATATTTTTTTTGTTTCTCAACCACCATATTATTGTTTACTTTGCGATTTGAATTTTATTTCAAGTTTCTCATCCTGTATACTATGGTATCATGCAAGAGGTAACTGATCTTTTCACATTTCAGGATGTTTCTTTACAACATCTGGAGGTTTGAGCAGTTTTGAACATCCACTTAATGAATTGAAGCCTGTACCAAGGGTTGACAGTTCCGGCCAAGTATGCGGTGCAACTTTCAAGGTGGATGCAGATGCTAAGAAGGAACAAACTGGCATGCCAAGGGTCGGGAGTGCTGCTAACTGGTCTAATAATATCTAATTGCAATTCTATTTGTTTGAACTAAGACTTTTATCTTAGCTGTACTCATTGAAGTTTCAAGTTCTGGTTTTCTGTTCCCATCATAATGATAATGAGGCGTCTGTTACCATCATATGATAGCTTGAGTCTCTAATCTATTGAGACTTGACTTATCATATTAGTTTGCTGAACAGAGATATGGTTTGATGAATATACAAGTTGCTTGCAAGCAAATACTGAGATCATACTCAATTGGCACATATCATGTAATAATGTTGACTTGCACTCTGATTCATCATAAAGTGAAGATTATTCACTGTCTTCGCTTGATCTTATTTCATTTAGGTTTATTTATGCCTCCTACTTAAACTGTAATGTGATGGATAATATTATGTATAATGTGTTGGATATTATTATGTAAGAAACAACTCACCCCAGAAAGTCAATGACAATAAAGTTTTGTAAGATTCAGTTACATTATAATTGCCAAATATCAGCTGCTTACTCTTTAAAGGAAACATATATAAATGGCACTGACATGATATCTCTGGATTATACTGTGTTCAAGTAACAACACTTTTAGTATAAACTATAAGCATATATCAAGAAGATTAAACTTAATAAAACTAATCAGTCTTTGTTGTGGAATAGTCTCAAAAGTCAAAAGCAGCTGCTTCAGTCCTTTGCATCAGCAATGCCCCCAGGTGTTATCTGGAACACGTAACTCTTGTCAAGACGAAACATGCAGACAATAATGCTAACTATTTTCTCAGTTACAAATGCACTATAATTGGATTCAATGGCCATGATGATTATGTTGGGCATCTGGAATTATCTGAAGGCAATTTCAAGTTGTTTTAACAACAATTTTTTTTAATTCGCAAGTCAATTTTAGTTTAAAGAATAGATTATTTTATGGGTAAAGGATATTGCTTCAGCCTCTGGCAAGTTTGGTGCGTCAAACACTTTGCAGACACGCTGTTCACCTTTCCCTTTCCTGAACATCAGCCTTATTGTGGCTGCATGAGCTAGCACATGGCCTCCTGCTGGTTTCTTTGGATCAGTTATGAACATACCACCTCCTGGATCAGCTATGACTGCAAACAAAACATTGTACAAATAAGCAACAAAATATTGTACAAATAAGCAATATGCCTAAAATAGTCTTATAAAAAGCCACAATTAAAGGCAAATGATGTAAACAAAAGCTTGAAGATTCTAATCATTTGGGGCTTGAGTGAATCAGTGAAATATCAACCAAAAAAATTCATTCCTTTTAAGAAGAATTTACCTTGATTAGTCATATAAACTGCAACATTGAACTCCTCAGCAATCTTAATCAAGCGAGAAAGCATCTGTGCCAATTTTTGCTGCAAAAAGTTCCTCATTTCAGCAAAAGTAGACATGAAGGGATAAAAAATCTGTTGGTGCATGTATATGACAGACTCACTGACCTGGCGTTCAGCAAGCTCTCCTCTTCCAGTGAAGTCCACCCGAAAAAGAGCAATCACAGAATCCACAATCTGCCAAAATAAAAAAACTGTCAACTCTTCACATCACATGATATTGCAATGCAAGATAACTCTATTAGTAACATCTCACCAGAAGTCTAAATGGTTCTTCAGCCATTTTCGCAGCCAAACCAAGGAGGAGGTTATACTGATGCTCGTAAGTGTAGGCACGAGCATATATGATCTTATGCAGTCACAAAAATAAATTAGTTAGCAGCCAGCACCAAAATATTCACCACCATCAAGATCCAATTATGATGCATGTAATTTTTTATATATATGAAACTCGGAAGCATACATTGTCCAATACAGCCCCTGGATCCATGCCAAATCTCTCAGCTATGGCAACAATTCTGTCAGGTCGACTACAGTACGAATGAGCATATAACAATCATAAGTTATGGTTTTGAGGGACTAGACGTTCATCGTAATTTTTTAAAAGCAGAGTAATAAAGAGCATACAAAGTTCCTTCTGTGTCAATGTAAGCAACTTTTCCATTGCCTCCCTTCATATTAGTTGGCAGCTGTAGTATACAACAAATATTTCAATGTGCATGAAGATGAGGCTAGTACGCACAGAAAATTGTGTTTGAGAAGCTATGAATGCATACAATAAGAGATACAATACAAACACGTTCAAATACTCATATGCTATGACCAAGGATAGATGATAATAGTAAACCTGAGTGGAAACACAGAGAGTATGAGCTAGTTGTGTTTTCCCAGATCTGAAAACATAAAGTCCTATTGTTAGAATGAATGAAATTCTTCGCTAACATAATATACTCCAATTGTTAAATCATAATACATCCAAAACTAGATGGATGTTGATTTCTTACCGGAATTCTCCAAATGCTTCTGTAATTGACAGGGTCTCGATTCCACCTTTTTCAAACGTTAAAATTAAACTTAGAGAGAAAATAGTTCCAGGCATAAAGGATTCAAAATTAACAAGTCATATAAGTTGAAAATTGCAAAACTATAAACAAGAAATTCTTGTTGTAAAGCTACCTCCTAGCAATTCATCAAGCGCTTGGCTTCCAGTTGTAATTCTGACCACAGACTTTCTCTGCAGTAACATAGCTTAAATAAATTCTTAACTTAAATACAAGTAATTAAGATCTACTTAAGCTTTAATAAGACAGCAAAAATTCATATAATATTAAAGATACACAGATCAAACTTGAATTCATAATTCAAAAACTAGAAGCAAAGTAAACAACTTACTTTGAGCAGTGCGTCACTTCCGGTAATATAACCAGAATTCTGCATCGGAAAAAGATTAAATTATGAAGAGTTGAAATAGTAATCTAAAGTAACTTAGATTTCACATATTAAAATCACTAACCACAAGCTTCTCAGCAGCTTCACAGATCTTATCCACCTTAGCCTCAGATAGACCTTTGATTCCAGTCAAGTTCTACGGAAAAAATAATCACAACATTACGAAAGTGATTAAAGTTCAGAGCAATTTAACATCCTTAGATCTTCGAATCAGAAATGTATTTAAAGCTAAACCTTCTTTGTGTTCATCATTAAGCCATTGCATGTAAAGATCCCTGCGTCCTGAAGCTTCTTCACGTCTCCGGCATTAATGCCTTGGGAAATCACTGGGAAGATGCATATTCATGTGAATCAGAGACAAAACGTTTAAGCAACAGTCAAATTAGTATCGATTTGTGCTTTTGAAACCTGATATAATTGTATAACAAAACAGTATCAGTTAATTAACTAGCAAAAAAATTCAAAAAAAAAAAAAACGGAGAAGCAAAACAAATATCACTGAGGATGATGATTATATTATTCTAATCGACTTGTTTGTAGAAAAGTGTATTGAAAGGTAAATCTAACAAAAATTGACAGTGAATAGCAGCAAAAATGGAAAGAAAAGCAAAATGAAGATCTTCGATCTGAAACCAAGCGTCATGTTACAGAGATCGGTGTTTAGTAAGCCGATCTAGAGAAAACGAGAATCAAAAATACGAAAACAGAGTAGTTGAGAGAAATACGCTTGTCGATTGCTTCGAAGAGTTCTTCTTCATCTTCCGTATCTTCTCGTTCAACCAGCTGCATCTGTCCGCTGGATTCTTCTGATCTGAGAAAAAAACGGAACAAATAAGTTATTAACCGATCAAACTGTAAACAGAATTGAAATCATGAAACGGAGAAGAAATGGATCTGGTTTCTGTGACTACTTGAGGCTTGCAAGCATGGTGGTTGTTGAGGGAAAAATTGAATGCAGAGAGAAATAGAGAGAAAGCTAGAGAGAGAAGAGAGATTGAAATTTGAATGAGGTTTGAATGAAGAAGTGAAGGAACGCGTGTGTGTTTATATAGGGCGGGAAATGAAAAGTTGGCTTAGACGTTAGAGCTCAGAAGATAGTAACCTGCAAAACGGTTAGCATTCCCGCGTTTTTCATTTTCTTCCATCTTTTTAAAATTTTGGTTGTTATGATAGGTTGGGCTTCCTACCTGATTTTTCATGATTCACCATCGCGTATCAATGTGTTTGAGAGTTAGTGTGATTAGATTATTAATTATATTTATCTAAAAGTTTTGAAAAGAAATTGACACTTCTAATTTAACTCAAAATCACGCGTAAAGGTTTTGGATGAAAAATATAAACCAATCACATGATATAAGATTTATATAAACTAATTACATGGTCAATTTTTGGTATAAAATTTTATATTTTTGCAAGAGTTTAAAAAAGTGTAATATAATTGGTGTTTGGAGCAAACTCGAGGGTTTGTATATGACCAAATTTTTGGTCAAATGTCTTTACCTAAAACAAATTTTGTATTTATTTAAGATGAGTGAAGACAAAGTTTTGGCTGAGCAACTGGATATGTTCAACAAATTGATTCTTGATCTTGAGAATTTTGAGGTCAAGATTGGTGATGAAGATCAAGTGTCGCTGTTGTTGTGTGTGTTACCAAGATCTCATGATAACTTCAAAGAAACCCTCTTGTATGGAAGAGAGTCTCTTACCTTTGAAGAAGTTCAATCAGCTTTGTACTCGAAGGATTTGAACGAAAGGAAAGAGCAAAAGACATCATGTGTTGGTGAAGGATTGTCCGTAAGAGGAAAATTCTTGAAGAAACATGGTAGATTTAAAAAGAAAAGGGTAAAATTCTACATAATTCTTATGGTGGTAATGCTCATACAATTATGTGTTATCATTGTACAAAGGAGAGTCATACGAGAAAGATGTGTCCCGAACATTTGAATAATCATGGTGGTAAGGATAATCGTAATACGATCATTGTGCAAGATGATTATGAATCATATGATGTCTTGGTGGTTTCAAGTAGCGACTCTAGTAAGGAGAGAATTATGAATTTAGGTTGTACTTGGAACATGACTTCAAACAAAGAGATGTTTGAGGAATTACGTGATCAAGATGGTGGATCAGTGTTGTTGGGAAACAATAGAGCCTGCAAAATTGCAGGAATTAGATCTGTCGGATTCAAGCTTCGTGATGAGTCAACAAGGCTATTGATTGATGTTAGGTATGTACCTGATCTTAAGAGGAATTTGATTTCTCTTGGTGAATTTGACAATAAAGGATATATTTTCAAAGGAGAGAAAAGTATCCTAAGGGTAATGAAGGGGTCAAAGAAAGTCTTGAGAGGCATTAAAAGGCAAGACCTACACACCCTTGAGGCTGAAGTTCTAAATGGTCTAGCAGATGTGGCATCCACAAAATCTATTTCGAAGACTGAGTTATGGCACAGGTGACTTGGCCGTGTTAGTGAAAGAGGCCTGGTCAAATTGTCAAAACAAAATCTACTATGTGGTGACAAGGTCGAAAAATTGAAGTTTTGTGAACCTTCTATATTTGGTAAATCTTGTAAGGTGACGTTCAACAAAGGCAAACAAAGAACACATGAATCCCTTTATTACATTCATGTTGATTTTTTGGGGCCTGCAAAAAATCCTTCACACTCAGGTGCAAGATATTTTTTATCCATAGTTGATCATTACTCGCGATCCATTCAGAAAGCTAATGATGAATCTTTTGAAAATTTCAAAAATTGAAAGACTTTAGTTGAAAACCAAATTGACAAGAAGGTCAAGAGGTCGAGGACCGACAATGGTCTTGAAATTTTCAATGAGGCTTTTGACACCTATTTTGATGTGCCTGGTATTGCAAGGAACAAAAATACTGCAGGTATGCCCCAACGAAATGGTTTGACTGAAAGGTTTAATTGAATCATTCTGAAAAGAGTGAGGTGCATGTTGGTTAGTGCGGGATTAAAGAAGGTGCTTTGGGCAAAAACTGTTGTGACTGCAACATACTTGATAAATATGTGTCTCTCAACTACCTTGAGAATGAAGACACCTAAAAAGGTCTGGTTGAGACATCCACCTAATCTCGACAGACTTAGAGTATTTGGGATATGATCACCAAGACAATGCTATGTTGCAAGTTTTTCTACTGTATGAAGTTGATAGAACTGCATGATGACAACTAGTTGATTTTGTGGTTCAGAGTTTTTAGCAAGTTGGAGATTTGTAGCTTATAAGTTATAAGGTAGTGTTGTAGAAAACTTTGTCGATGTTGAAGAGCTCTGTCAAAGTCAAAGAATTATGTTGAATTCAAAATGCTAGTAGCTGTCGAAATAAATTAGTTGTTGTTTAAGTTAACATGTTGAATTAGACCAGTCTGTTAGGTCAATTGTTTAGTACGTTAGTTAAAAGTTAGGGTTTAATTTTCTTATAAATAACATACTAGTCATCATTTCTCCATCAATGTTTGATAATTCTAATTCATTTTTTAACCATTTTGAATTATCTCTCTCTTATCTTCTCTTTTCTTCTTTATTATGTGATTTTTCTATTAATCAAAAAATTTATCGTACTCTGATTTTTGAGTATCGTTTTCACAATACTTATTTTATAAAAGTTTTTTTTAATGTAAACGCATTATGAATTTTTTAAGATATTAAAAATAAATACATAATTCTATATTGATAATTCTTTGGAACTTCCTAGATTATATTATTTAATAGTATTTTTCTTTGAAGAAAAAATATTTAGCAAGATGTACATATGGTGAAGCATTAACATCTATTTATAGCATTGTGGCTGTGGCACTGACACTGACTAAGTGTGGAATAAGTGGTGCTTGAGAATTGGAAATTCCTTTTTGTTTTAAAATAATTATCGTTTAACAAATAAAATTTATTTTAAAATAAATATCATTTTTACTTTTTAATGTAGTAATGAATATTATTTTTCCAATCGTTATCATTTAATTATTATTATATAAACTACATCCATTACATTAATAAGGTCAATTTAATAATTTTAGTGCAAAAATCTTAAACGACAATCATTTTAAAACAAATGAAAGAATTAAATTTGAAAACAATGTAATTGACTAATTGTTATGCACATAACTACGCAACATTCTTTGTTTAACTAGGCGAGGACAACAAGGATCTTTTATCTTGTCCTACAATTATTGTGATGTAAATGGAGTTAGACAATCAGATACACCACGTAGTATTTGGGAAGAATCACTTGGTGTCCTGGGTAAAGAAGAATCAACATTGCGCTCTCTTAGTTTTTGAAGTGCTGCAAATGATTCTCTTGTGACAGACATGGATTCAAAGTACCGAGTGCAATATGCCAAAGCTAGAGGAATAGGTCGAAGCATATCCTGGAAGAAGAAAAAACAGTGAAAAATTCGTTTAAAAAGCAAGTGGTAGAAGTAGTGAACACACACTTCAAGTAGTATTGTTGCCTTGGAAAACACTTATTGAAATGCAGCAGAAAGCATAACCTTTAGAACATGTAACAGACACCAAGATTAGTTTCTTATACTCCAAGCAAGAATTTAAAAACTCAGTATTATTTTTCACACGCCAAAGTTTTATTGACTGTTTTAAAAAACACCATTTATCGTAATTACAGGTTAACTGACGACTTTTAGTAATTTCAGTGTCTTAGAATGAACTTAAATACACTTTAAATTATTCTTAATTTTCCAAGTGAAACAATGATAATAAGAAAAACTACATCCACTATCAATGATTCCAAGCAACTGTAATAACATTGAAGGTAGGCAAAACAAGATAGTTGGTGAAAAAACTACGGTCAAGGAATGTAAATTAGTTTATCATAATGGAGGAAACGGAAAGTCATGTCATCAATATGAAGAAACAATAAAATGATTGTAGAAGCATACCCCCCAAAAAGAAGGAGGTTCCTTAAAATTCATACTCCAATGCAAATCTGCCACAGATACTGTCAAGGTACCATAGTCGCTAGCTGCCTTCATCAGTAGTTCACAGAATTGTTTCTACAAAAATAAAAAATATATATGATGCAAGCATTTCAATGTCCGGCTAACTATTGGGTGAACTAGGTAAAACTGTAAAAGCATTGAGACAAAAAAGACTAATGTTTTCACATTATTGGAGTAATAATATAAACTTAAATGCCATCATTATATTTAATTTTTAGTTATACAAAACATTTTGTACAAGTAAATTTCAGGTTAGCCACTCAAGCTTTGAGAATAATTTAATTAACTCATATTGCATAAGATATTTATGCCTAGTTACAAACTACATAGGTATGTATTAGTATTAGGGGTGTCAATTTACACTTGGCTGATTGAGAAAGTGGTTAACTATATTCCTAATTTCCATTATACAATGGATGGTGAAGCAAATACATTAGTAGCGTGCTTGTTTTGGTGTTTTATATACCATATTCACGTCCCATTATGACTTCCACTGTGATTTTAAGAAGTTAGAAATACTAGCTTTTCTTCACACACCCGTCTCCACCACAAAAACAAAGAGGCCAAGTCCCTTAATATATAACTTTTAATGCATATAAGAATCTTATAGCTATATTTCCTACAGCCCAATTGAAGACACTTTATTAAGTATTCTCTGAAATGCTGCATTTTGTAGTTAACAAGCTTTATTCGGGAAAACTAAAAAAATTATCACATCATAGACTACATTTAGCAAAATATGAAGCTAAATACAATGTGTGTATTGATTTAGAATATCACTAACACAACCAGAATACCAACTGTGCATATGACTTCATGTGCTGAGTGACCAACTGTTTAGATTATGTGCATGAAAAGTCTGATTAAATGACAAACTATGGTCACCAACCTGATATTCTACTTCAACAGGAATACAATCTAGACAATATGGCTGCTGCAGACGAGCTATTATGCGATCCTGCCAAATTATAACACAAAGTAATGTTGAGAAGTACATGAATAACTAAATTCTTGAACCCCAATGCCAGGATGGGAACTATTTAACAAGGAAAGCAAACAAGAGTAGAAAACAATGTAAAATCTGAAAATTTATTTCTTTTTATCCCTTCAAATGAAAGTCTAATAAAACAATTGAATCAGACCGATGTATTAATTAACTACAATCTTTTTGTAGATTACAATTGGTAAATGAGAAAAAAAATAACTATATTGAATTTATACCTTATTCTTGATAACATCTTTGAGAATAGCGGTAATCCTTGACAACGTCTCAATCTTCTTCTCCATTTCACTCACATTTGTCAAAAATCCAGAAGTTACATGATCCTAAAATTTCACAAGTAACAAGTATTGATTAAAAAAGAGTTTAAAGCCAAAACACTAGATGTGGAAATCCAGAGACCTTTCGACCTTGGAGTTCAGTTTCCAAATCTGCTATTTTTTTTTGGACATTGGTTAGTTCTCTTAAAACCTTGATCAAGCCCTCACCCTTTTCCTCAGTTGCCCGAGATGAATGCTGCATTATAAAAATAAAGAAACGCATCGTTAACAAATGTCAATTCTGAAATAATCTACGCGAGTTGGAGGATACTAGAGAGATTGGTATGGTACCTGGGACAAAGGTGAAGACGACACTGAGAAACCAAGATTAGTTGCAATTGACAAAGCACTAGACATTCCGCCTCCGCGTTTTACAGGCTTCCTCCTAACCGGACTCGACGCACTTGACATCGACATTTTCAAATTCAAACTGAAACTCTGCTATACTATTCTGCATTGAAACTACATATTTTTACGATTGTCAATTTGGATGCAGACACTGATTAGGATGAGAATGATGCATAAAATTAATCTCTAACACGGTTTCTAACAGCATTTCGTTATGGTATTCTAAAATTGTAATTCACAATTCAACTTCATAATTCATAATCATAATCACAAATCAAAATTGTTCATGAAAGGAATACGTAATCGATTTATATTATCCACAAACAAAACTGTCGATCAAGCCTACAGAGTTCATTCAAGATATCGCAATCGCAGTGTTCTTGACAAAAAAAGAAAAGAAATAGAAAGAATGTTAAAGAATCTCACTCTATCAAAATCTCGATGAAGAATCTCCACTTGGTATTGGGTCTGTGGCAGGGTTTATTCCGTAAAAACCATCGTTGATTTTCTATAGAAGTTTCCAGAATGTGTGAGCATCTGAGAGAGAGACGATCGACGTGAAGGAAAGGAGAGAAGGAAGTACTGTAATATTGCAGTTTTTTCAATGATTTTTTAATTTGTTATTTCTCCATTCTTGAATTCAGATTTGTATTTGTATTTGAGTAAAAAAAAAAAAAGGAAATGGAGTGAAACATATCGGAATAGAATATATTTTTATTTTAAAAGTTTATTGATTGCATGTGTAAAACCGGTATCCTTTTTATTTTTAATAATTTCTTTTTATTATTAAAATTATAAATTTAATTGGTATGCATCACTCTGAACTAATGATGCTCATGTATTCCACTATATTTGATTATAAATTTTAAGTTATTGATATAATATGATACATATATTAATTTTTATTAGATGAAAGTGTAAGGTAGTGTAAAATAATTTTACACGGTTAGTGCATACCAATTTAATTTTAAAATTATTTCTCTTATTTTAAAGTCAGAAGATTTTGGATAAAAAACAAATTATGTTGTTTTTAGTAACACTCAAAAAATATAATATGTAACAACACTCAAATTTATATACAAAATAATAATTAGTTAAAAATATTGTTTTAGTCCTTTAAGTTATTTTAAAATATTAAGTTAATACTTTAAGTATTTTTTATAACGTTTTGATCCTTTATGTTAAGTAACGTTTGCGTTATTGACCTTTTTAAAAATTTTCGTTACAATAAATTGCAAACTCATATACCATTTGAACTGGTTTTTCGTCCTGATCACAAATATATAATTAATTTTGCGTTTGATTGTATATTTTGATCGGATCGAACGATTTTCTATTATATATTTGTCCACTTTTCCCCTTAATTCTCATGAGCCGTAACTTGTTTGATAAATTTGATTTCATATTTGTGATTAACGCGAAAAATCAATTCAAATGGTATATGAGTTTGCAATTTATTATAACAAAGATTTTTAAAAAAGTCAACAACGCAAACGTTATTTAACATAAAAGATCACAACGTTACAAAAAAAACTTTAAAAGCTAACTTGATATTTTAAATAACTTAAAGAATTTAGACAATGTTTTTGTCTAATAATAAGAATATCAAAATATTTTTTTTATAGTATAACACTATAGTACCTATAAAATTTGGTCAAATACCTATCAATTATTATTTTATAATAATTTATTTTAAGATAAATCAAATTTTTAACAAGTTTTGATTAAAGAAGGTGCCCAATTAAAACGCATTAGAGCATCTTTAATGGGAGTAAACTAAATGGGTAAACTAAGATACTTTTTGTGGGACCAAAGTGATTTGTAGGATTTAAAAATTTTATAGTTGATTTGAGTAGTTTTTACTTTAATGGTGGTTGTCTATGAGAAACCAAAACTTGACCCCACATTTTATATTTTTTATTTAAGTTATCATTAATTTAATTAATTTAATTAAAATGCATACAATTTTTTAAATAAAATTTACCTTAAAAACTTAAAAATAATATTAAATATATTTTATTATAAAAATTAAAAATAATACAAAATTCACAACAATAATACATAAAAAAATTTACATTTTCATAGGAATATAAAATAATACATGACAATAAGCAACGAATTATATTTTAACAAAAAAAATATAAGATTGGAAATTTGATAAATAAATAAGATTGGAAATTGAAAGAAAAAAATTTAGAAGTAAAACTGTGTGTAAAAAAAATTAAAGTTTCTATAGAATTTATAGAAGATAAAAAAATGGTAATATGACCGTTACTATTTTCAAATATCATACCGTTACTTTAATGCTGTTGGAATATTTGGAATATTTTATTAATATTAAATAATATTATAATAGGTTTAACATCAATAGTTAACGTTAACTATATAGAGAATGAGAACTAAATTTTAGTTCATTTGGATGTCACGTCAGCTCTACTATAATGCAAATTCCTTATTATTAACGTAAGTTATAAGGAATTTTGATTTAACAAATCTGCGTTAAAGTTGCTCTTAGTACCTAGTAATAATTTACCCTTCTTTTTTTATATATAAATTTCTTAAAAACATGTTTTTTCTTAATTAATTAAAATTTTAACCTCCAATTTTGTTTAAACATATGTGCTATTGTAGATTTATGCATCTTAAGTCCCTTTTGTGCATCAAAGTTTGCCTATTAGTTATAGAGTTGGAGAAGTCTTTAGCGATCAAGTTTGCTCTAAGAATGTTGTCTGATACAAGTTAGAAGTGAAATCACTACTATAAATATATTTATTTTACCTCGGACGCAAAGGAGATTTTATCTTGGTTAGGCAAACGAGGTAACGGAGAGCGGCATGAAAATTTTCCAACTTACTTAGTTTTTGAATAACCGAAGGAATAATTGAAAATGTCGTTGGTTCCATCTCCAACAACATTTTTAAAAATTTTCAAAACTAGATAGCTCACATCATATACAATGCTTAAATCTCATTTTGATTTACCTGTATCATTTTTTTACACGCAAACTACAAAATATGTGATGGAATCAAATCATTTGTATTTTATACATAACATAATACAAAATACCAAATTTACATTGTTTACAAAATCAAATGTATAATGCTTACAATACTTATAATGACATTTAAGATACACAAAACACCTACCAAGAGAATCTATAGTCTATACATATTTGAACCTGTATTCGCACATATAATGACAAAACCTCTATATAATGCTTAGAACAATCAAGAAAAACTAGTGTTTTTGAGATTCATAATTAACTTTCTCAAAGTGTCAAATGTCTAGAAGCTCCTTTATCATCCTTGATAGTCTCTGTATTTTATATAGTTGAGCTGGTGTGGTCTCAATATTATGATGCGGGACATAACAACTATCTTTCATACTTGCACCACCCATAACAACTTTCTCAACTACTTTCTCATGTATGTCCAAATGATCTGGATTTGGATGGTTGAATACACCCATTGATTTTAATTTCTGCATCATAAAAATAACTGAAATACATCAATTTTTTTTAAACTTATACTTATACCTCAATCACATTGTGTGTACACTTCTCTCGGTCAACCTCAACCATCCTCCCTCGCTTCTCCTGGACCCTCTCCCGCACCTCCTACAACATCCTTTCCCGCTCCTCCGGATTCACCCTCCCAACGTTCATCCTGAGTCTACTTCTCCATCGCCTCCTGAATCCACTTCACCCACCCCTATTCTAATAACCCCTCATCTTTTCAACAAATATCTCTTTAATTTCTCTCTCACAGTTTACTTCGCTAATTAATTGTGATGGTCCAAAATGTAACTTCAAGTCAACGCCTTTTCCATGACCAAGAACACGCCCAAGATTCTCCTCGGTTCCAATCATTTCTACCCAGATGACGATCTTGTGGAACGAAGATACTAACTTTGAATTATTCAACCAATACATCCTACAACACATATAAAAGTTCACCTTACCAAATTAAATTAATTAAAATAAGTACTGTTGAATAAAGTATTTCCTTACAATCTTTTCAGCCACTTCGCGTAGCCTCTGATGTGAACTTGTCACCTAGTCTTTGATGCACCTTCTTCTATTTCTCATGGCATGATGGTGGAGATTGACTGCGATCAATGCTTCTAGAAAGATTTCCCAGCTCTAGTTCCCTTTGTTTTCTTTTTTCAATAATCATTTTCTGTTCAAGTTTATCATTTCCTTCACGAGACAACCTATGTAGATATACATGTCTAGTTCTATTCTCTTTTCCTTTTTTGCTCTTAGCCAATAAATTAGAAGTGGTGCGATACTTTACAAAAATTTCCTAAAATTTCTTACCAATATATGAATACTTCACGTATGGAGGCACTTTGTTATCTTTTGGATGATTAATATATTCAAATGTGAGTTATGTTTTAAAGTTCATCCAACGCTCACCAACATATACAAGTCATTTTTTTTCCAGCATATTATCTTCTGAAACAATAAACAAGTCCTATATTTATATGATAAAGTTGATATTAGTATTAAATCAAAAAGTTTAATGATTATATATACTTGTAAACCAAATCAGAAAATTCATAATAAATATAGTAATATCGGTCCATATGCTATCTTTTAAATCATCATTAACGTCGTGCCAATTATCTATTAAAACACTCGTTTTTCTTCTACCTTGTAATGTCACGTAACCCTTAAAATCATCACCACTTTCATAATAAGTCTTAACGGTTCTTAGATCAAAATTAACCGGGGAGCAAACACCGCTTTCGTGGGCTTTTTTAACCTCGGTAAACATCACGACATCTCTAGTTTTTCTTTTACTTTTTGTATTAACAAAGGTTGCAACAGATGTTGTATGGGAGGTACTTATCGAATCACCCATGTCTGTATAAATTAAGAAAAATAGTAACATATAACAGAGATACCAATATGAACTTCAAAGGCACATCACACAATACTTCATCTAAAATGATTCATAACATAGAAACATACTAAGCAGAAATATGCAGTAGAGAGAGACCGTAGTACCATACTAACTAGAAACATACACAACACTTAAGTAATAACACAATGTTTATTTCTAACA